ATTTTAGCCTCTGGGGCCCTCCTGGGGGGCATCTGGAAGTCCTCTTGGGGCGTCTTGGGGGTCTCTTGGGCTGTCCGGTGGGGCTCTTGACCGTCTGGGAGCGATCTTTCGGCGATCCGAAGCCCTTCTTGAACCGTCTACGGGGCCTCTTGGGGCCCCCTGGGCCCGTCTTGAACAAGGAAATATTCGGCCAAGCCGAACTCGGCCAATCTAAGCTCGGCACAAGGACGAGCTTCGCGTGAACGAGTTCAGCGTGGGGCAAGTTTTTCCGGCCGAGGTTCTCTGGCCGAATTTGTCTGGCCGGGTTTCTCCGGTGCGGGCTCGCCCGGCCGAGCTTAGAACCAATTTCGCCACTACAGCTGGGGCGCCAGCCGAGTTCGGCTGGCCGAGTTCAGCGCGGGCCGAGTTCAGTTTTGCCCTGTTTCTCCCCAGCTGGACTTTTCCGGCTGGGTGCCTTTGGTCGAGTTGTGCTTCGTCCGAGTTCGTCTGGCCAGGGTTCTTCCCAGCCGAGTGCATCGGGCCGAGTTCGGCTGGCCGAGTTTCGCCTGGCCGAGTTTATCCGGAGTCGTCTTCGGAAGACGCAATAGGCGCTTCGCGCGCGCCCAGCCCCCAAGAGGCGAGCCCGCGCGAGGCACATCAGGCAGGCGAGCCTTGTTCAAACAAGCGAAGACTTCGCAAGCAGATAAGAGCGTACGAGAAGAGCCCAGCCAAGGAAGGGAACACCCAAACCAACAGCATAATGAAAGAAGGCGAGCAGCAGAACAACGATCAAACTCTGGCTGGCTACAACAGATGTTTAGTCACGCACATGTCTGGTCCTAGTGCAACCATCCCGAATGAAAATCAAAAAGTCAACCGGACCAACGCAGACGCAAAAATTGCAAGATTACAGGAAGTGGTGTAGTCAGTCATGTGTTTGCCCAGGTTCGAAGTATCGCAAATGCACGACATCGTCCTTCACCCTGCACACTCCTTGTCTCCTTCGGGACGGTTCCCCTGGGCAGGAAATCGCTACAAAATGTGTTTGCCTTAGCGGAAGCTTCTTCCTCTAAGCAAGTCCCGTTTAAGACAAAGAGTAAGCTAGGCCAGAGCAGACACTAAATTGGCGTGACTGCAGAGTGTGGAAGCCACCCAACTCCTTCCCCACCCATCCCCCCCTCGTCCTTCCACGCCCCCGCGACCCCCGATGGCAACGTCCCTGCCAACTCCTCCCCCTCTGCCGACGCTTTCTGGAGACACGGTCGCACCTCTTCAACAATCGCCCGGGGTGAAAAGGCATATGTAATGATTGCATGTCACTCCTCCCCCTTTCCCCTTCCCCTTGAATCCAACATCGAGCGAGACAAGGGCGAGGAGGAGGGTAGGAGTATAGGGGTACCGAACTCCTCAACACACCTCCAGGGCCCTCCCAGCCTCAAAATCAACCCTCCGTGGCTGTCAAGATGCCCAACATGCTCACTGCTCAGTGCGGTCGAGTTGTTCTCGGGCCGAGTTTCTCCAGCCGAGCTCAATGTGGCCGAGTTTCTTTGGACGAGTTTTTCTGGCCGAGTTCATCTGATGCTCATGCTGCAGCCGGAGCGATGTCCGAGTTTAGATTCCAGTTGGCCGAGTCCAGTTAAGCCGAGTTCAGCTGGCCGAGTTCAGAGTGGCCGAGCTCAGTGGGCCGAGTCCAGCCGGCCGAGTTTTTCTTGGCCGAGTTTAGTAGTTGCCGCTTGGGCCCCTCTTGGCTCATGAAAACTTCTGTCGTCCGAGTTCTGCCCGGGGCGTGTTTTAGCGGTTTCTAGCTCGGCATCTTGAAAATCATTCGTTGCGCGTTTTCGGTCCCAAAAAGAAACTCAAAACGCTGAAAGACGGTTTGTTGTGCTTGCGTTGTGAACTACGTTTGCACTACCGCTGTCCGATCATTTGATTGCGTTGATTAACATTGCAGTGTACGACGTCCTCTGTTTTCCCTCCTTGCGCTTAGTCCTCCCTATGTGATTGCATGTGTTCCTGTTGCTCTTCTCCGGTCGTCGCTGCTGGCTGGTCGCGGCGCTTCCGGGCCTTTTACGCGCTGGTATTGAACTGGCGTTAGGGAGTTTATTCCGCGTTGTTTGATCTGCGCGCGGAGCGGGAGGAACGGGAGGCAGCAAGAACGGAAGAGCGGGAGCGAAGACGGCAAGGAAGACAAGGAGCAGCCTTGGGCAAGAAAGCAAAAAGCGCAGATAAAAATGATGAGCCGCAGCGACGGGCCTAAAAACGGTTGAGCAACTACCGTAAAAAAAAATTCTTGATATATATATATATATATATATATATATATATAAACAAAAAAAAAAAGGACGTCGCGTCGCTTTAGCGTATTCTGTCTGTCAAGAGCCTTGGGCGCTTCTAGGGTGCATAAATGTCGCGCGGTCACGCGCTCCAAGCCCCAGGAGGCACGCACCAGGCCTTGGCGCATCCAGCAATTAGGGTCTTAGGGTCTGGGCACCTTCTTATTCACGCACTCAGGATTGAAGGCGGCGGCTGGCTGGACTTGGCCGGCGGCCGCCTGCCGCCTGACCTGCTTCTTTCGGCTGGATTATGTAGTTAATTGTTGACGCTTCGCGTATCCCCACCAGCCCATCCAGAAACGATGCTCAGGGGAGTTGAGGTGATCAGGGACGTCGGGGAGCATGCAGAATAACAAAGGGCGGGGGAAGCTGTCACAGACCCCGAGAGGGGGAGGATAGAAGAGGAGTCGTCGTCGTCGTCGTCGTCGGAGGAGGAGGAGGAGGAGGAGGAGGGGGAAGAGGAG